GGCTTAGTTATGAGGGTTTAAGGGTAAAAACATTTTTTAGTGTTTAAAATTTTAAGATATATGGTTTAAAAATCTATAATTAGTGGCATTTTTGCAAATGAACACCCCTAAATGGTATTTTTGCAAATGTGCACATAAAAAGCGCCATTCTTGCAATTTCTCGGGAATACAAAATTATGGATTTGTTTGGAAATCATTAGTTTTAGCTTTTTATCGTTTATTTGATTTGTTATTTTAAAATATTTTTACATATCAATGGATTATTTTTTTTGTTCCAGTTAAATTTTTTAAATTTGTATCCATTATTTTATCGGTCAAACCAATTTTTTAATGTTTTGATAAATTTTATGAAAGAATTAAAAAACTCAAACTTATACCCTTCAATTTAAGTGTCATGTATATTAAAGTATTTTTCATATAGTTTTGTTAAGTCTCCATTTTTCATGAGTTTTTTTTAATATAAATACTCTACATCTGTGATTTGTAATTGAATTTGGCCTTTCACTTACTTACTACTAGCGTTGCAATCACCGGTCAACTAAACCAGCTAGATTATTTCGAATTGATAATACAATACACACACTTGTAAATATGGTGAAAGACTGCGAAAGGAAACCACCTAATGAAGATTGATCCAAATTAACTAATGACCCATCGTATTGAATTTCACATGCCTAATCCTAATTTATAAATTTAGCACACACTTCCCTAAGAGAAGCATCACAGAATTTGCGCGTCAAGTTAATATGAATATTCACATTCCACTACTTATATAAAGCCATCATCAAACACACAGTCACATCAATCAAACCAAAATCCTTCTTCTTCTTCGAAACCCTAAAAAACCTTTTCATTTCAGTGTTTCTATGGATACCGTCAAGTCAATCAAAGGATATGGCAAAGTCGACGAAGCGCAAGACTTAGCTTTGAAGAGAAAGACAAAGAAACGGTTGATTTTAGTGGCCGTAGCCGTCGTGGCTCTGGTTGTTATTATCATCGGCTTCGTCGTCGGCGTCGTTGTTCATAACCGGAAAAACAATTCGACCGATTCGACACCGAGTTCGATTCCCGAGTTGACTCCAGCCGCTTCACTCAGAACCGTTTGCAGCGTGACTCATTACCCTGCTTCATGTATCTCAAGCATCTCGAAGATTCCATCGTCCAACACGACGGATCCGGAGATTCTATTCCGCCTCTCGTTAAAAGTGGTGGTCGACGAGCTCGATTCGATTTCCGATTTACCGAGGAAGCTCGCCGATTCGACTGACGACGAGAGAATCAAATCGGCGCTCGGTGTTTGCGGAGATCTGATCGAAGACTCGATAGATCGGCTCAACGATACGGTTTCCGCCATGGAAGTAGGTGACGGGAAGAAGATCCTTAACTCAACGAAGATCGACGATCTCAAAACTTGGCTCTCCGCCGCGTTAACCGACCACGACACGTGTTTCGATGCCCTCGACGAACTCACACAGAACAGAACGGAGTACGCCGATTCACCGATTTTGCAGAATCTGAAATCCGCCATGAGAAACTCCACCGAGTTCACTAGCAACAGCTTAGCAATCGTCGCGAAGGTTCTCTCTGCTTTAAGCGATTTCGGGATCCCGATTCATAGGAGACGGTTACTCAATTCATTTCCGAATTGGGTTAATCCAACGGTGAGACGGTTACTTCAGGCGAAGAATTTGACTCCGAATGTGACGGTTGCGGCGGATGGATCCGGCGATGTGAGGACGGTGAACGAAGCGGTGGCGAGAGTTCCGAAGAAGGGGAAAACGAGGTTTGTGATATATGTGAAATCGGGTACTTATGTAGAGAATGTGGTTATGGATAAAAACAAATGGAATGTTATGATTTACGGCGATGGGAAGACGAAGACCATTATTTCCGGTAGCAAAAACTTCGTCGACGGGACTCCTACCTTTCGAACGGCGACGTTTGGTAAACTCTCTCTTCTTTACTTATACAGTTATATACTACTCTGCTTATTAATGGAGAATTTTTCTTTGGCTTAAAAATGGGAAATTTAGTACTATATTTTGCAATTTATATGCCTTTGGTAGTTTACAAAGTTATATAACAAAATTCAGTTTATTTTTCCCACCATAACTTATCCTATTCATAGAAATTTAAGGTAAAAACGGTATAATTTAATTTGTTTATTGACTGACTTTTTCACCTTCGTCAATTTGGTAACTCTACTTAAACCTTGGAGAATTTATTCATGATCTTACCTAATTGCTGTTTTATAACATTCTTTCAATTTTTTTTTACATATCTTTTACATTCGTTTGGTGTTTTACAAAACTATTAATCAAACATTTACAGTATATTTTTTCCACCGTTTATTTATAGAAATGAAACTGAAGCCTTGAGTTCTGCACTGTTATACGCTATGGTTTCGTAAACCTTATCATGGAACTGATTAATTTACGATTTTACCCCTCTACGCAGCGATCCAAGGCCAAGAATTCATAATGAAAGACATCGGAATCATAAACACCGCCGGAGCAGCGAAGCACCAAGCGGTGGCGTTCCGATCAGGATCCGATCTCTCCGTCTACTACCAATGCTCATTCGACGGTTACCAAGACACACTCTACCCTCACTCCAACCGTCAGTTCTACCGCGACTGCGATGTCACCGGAACCATCGATTTCATCTTCGGAAACGCCGCCGTCGTCTTCCAAGGCTGCAATATCCGGCCGCGTCAGCCACTTACGAACCAGTTCAACACAATCACCGCACAAGGCAAAAAGGATTCGAATCAGAACACCGGAATCTCGATCCAGCGATGCACGATCTCAGCCAACGGAAACGTAACCGCTCCGACGTATCTCGGCCGTCCTTGGAAGGAGTTTTCGACGACGGTGATTATGCAATCGACGATTGGGCGGATCGTGAGAGCCGCCGGGTGGATGTCGTGGGTTACCGGTACTGACCCGCCTTCGAGTATACTATATGGAGAGTATAAGAATTCGGGTCCTGGGTCGGATTTGACCCAGAGAATTAAATGGGCCGGGTATAAGCCCGTTTTGTCTGATGCTGAGGCTGGGAGGTTTACGGTTGCTACGTTTATACGAGGAAGCGATTGGTTACCGGCTACGGGAGTGTCGTATCAGCTAACTTAAAACCG